AAAAACACACATTTTATATATATATATATATATATATATATATATAATGCATAGAATTCAAAGAAAATAAAAATAAACATGTATATGTATGAAACTTAACATTTACGACTTATTATAACATATATTTTGATTTTTAAGACATTTTTGTTGAAATAATATTTGACATGAACAATCACATATATTTTGATATTGGTAAAAATATTATATTAAAATAACACGTTGATTATGTAATATTATTATATTTTCTAAATCGACTCTATAAAAACTAATTAAGAATATTACAAAAATATCACCGGTTCGCATACTACATTGAAATTCTAAAAACCTATGTAAATTTTTAATGTAAACAGTTTATTTTATTTTATTTTATTTTATTTCCCTCGTAGTGTATTATAACAAAATTAACTCAAACGGGCATATCATAACTTTTTATAAACTTATTTAAATACACCTTATTAGTTTTATTTTTTTACATTGATATGCTGGAGTCAAAATAGAAAAATGGTAGGGACTTTAGGAACAATTAACATTAGAAAATTCTATCATGACAAAGTTGGAACACTTAGGAATAGAGAGTATATCCTTCTTCACTTTCTTCATGTCAGTATCTGAATACCGTAGCCAAAAAGCTGTGCGTATAGTCAGTTTCTCCAAGATTGCTGCATTTTCCATCACAAATTTTGTCAAAAGAAGCTCATTCTCATGCCCATTAAATTCCTTAAACTGAAAAACTTTGAAGCTAGTCAGGAAGCACTGACGCACTGATGCAGAAGCCAAGACATCTTTATTTAATTCAGATACTCCCTGAAATTTTGTGTAAATTAGTGCGTCATCATTTGTAGAGATATAATATAAACAAGTAGTTTGAAATTGAATTTCAGTGAACCAAGAGCATGAGTTCAAAACTTACATTTTGTAAAACAAGAGTGTTAAGAATTGGAGAATTGTGAAGAATGTTTAGCAGAGCTTCACCAGTGACTTCATTTAGTTGAAGATAAGTCAGCCTCCCAAAAGTAGGTAGATGGGTGAAAATATCCTTGGCATGCATCAAAAACTGTACCATAGAAGAAAACGTGTTCAGATATGTAGACTCAAAAGTTTGCATGCCTTTTGGATGCAAGACAAGACAGTCATAGATCATAGAAGTGTATTTATAAATGCCGGACAAATTATGAGGTCCAACTTTGTCGTGACTGAATTTTAAAAGGCTAATACCATATACCATCTGTTAGTTTATGAATTATCAAATAGTAAAAGCTTATGTGATTGGTAGAAAGAATGGGAAGGCAAATTTATAATGATAGGCTTAGTTAAGAGGAAACTAGTTTAGAGGAATAGTTGGAATAGATTTGAGTAGTGGAAATGGCTTACTAGTTGCTTGGTACAAATGTTGAGTACATGACCTATTTATAGGCCTCATGACATCATTCATGTTTTATCTAGAAAACTCTAGAGATATCTATTTCTAGAGTTTTCTATCTATATATATAATTATTTACATGATTCTAGAATTTGTATCTAGTAATTACTAGCATACTTATGTATTTTTCTATAAGAATCTAGATTATTCTAGAAGTTTGTATCATATTTTAACACTCCTCCTTGATACAAATTTCTCTAACTCCTATCATAGTGCGAAACTGTTCGAACCTTGCTCTCGACAGTGCCTTTGTGAATATGTCAGCAACTTGCTCTTCGGTCTTGCAATACTCCATCTTGATTTCTCTAGTTGTTTCTGCTTCTCTGATGAAGTGATATTTAATTGCAATGTGTTTTGTCCTGCTGTGATGTATTGGATTTTTTGTCATTGCGATTGTTGATTTATTGTCGCAGTAGATTGTAGTAGGCCCATCTTGTTGTTCTCCCATTTCTGCAAGTATTCTTCGTAGCCAAATTGCTTGACTTGTAGCTTCAGCTGCTGCAACATATTCTGCCTCTGCAGTTGATTGTGCAACTGTTGCTTGCTTTTTTGATGCCCAAGAAAATATTCCTGATCCGAGTGAGAAAGCATAACCAGAGGTGCTCTTCATGTCATCTATCGATCCTGCCCAATCACTATCAGTGTATCCGAGCAAACTTGAGTTGGTCATTGTTTTGTACCAAATACCAAACTCCTTCGTGCCTTGTAGGTATCTTAGAATTCTTTTAGCTGCTCCAAAGTGAATTTGGCTTGGTTTTTTCATAAATCTTCACTACTAGAAAAATGATTTTCTACATCGCTATATCTACATCGGTTGTAGTAAAAACGATGTAAATTTAAAATGCGGTGGCAATCTCGTAAATAAATAGAAAATATAGACACATTTACATAGGTTGGGTAGAAAACTGATGTAAATATGAACGACTTTACATCGGTTTTATTATTGACCGATGTAGAAATGAAGAGGAAATTATTTTACATCTGGTTAGCTTTTGACCGATGTAGAACTCAAACCCTAATACACCCTCTCGCGCAAACATCCCATGGAAAGAATACCCTTTCATCATAGCGTTCCCAGCCCGCCGCGAGCAACCACGGATCTTCCTCTCCGCAACGCCCCCTTTCGAAGCCCCCTCCGCCCTCCTCCCTCCCTTTTGAGGGCCTCCACTTGGGACTTCCTCATCTTCTTTGACAACACTAACGACAATTTCTACCCCCACACCCATTTCGCCGCCACTCCCAGCTGCCACTCCAAGGAGGTCAGAGAGGAGGAGGGGATAACGACCAACACACTAGGGTGTTCATGGAAATTGATCTGAACGATGCAGTGTTTGAGGCTGATGAGAAGAGTGCGTCTTACGATGGGGAGTGTGAGAAAGGTGCTCCTTGTGTTTGCTCTTTGTCCTCTCCAACTTGTTCATCCTCTGGCTCTTCCTCCGCACGTGTGTCTTCTTCTTATCTTGAGCTCTGGCACGCTTGTGCTGGCCCCCTCACTTCCCTCACAAAGAAAGGGAATATGGTGGTGTATTTCCCTCAAGGGCACTTAGAACAAGCTGCATCCTTCTCTCCCTTTTCAAATTAGTTTGTGCATAAACTATTTTTAGTTCAAAGAAAAACCTATTTCATTTTTTCTTCTTATCTTTCTTTCTTAAAAGAGCTTTGGAGAAATTTATCCAATCAAACCTTATTTTGCTTCTGTAAAAGCAGAGAAATTCTTATTATTTTGTGCTTTATTTGTAGTACAAGGGGAGTGCTTGAAATCTTGGGTTGTGTTCAGTTGGCAGGATTGTATTTGGAGCAGAAAGATCGTGAGGAATTGAGAGCAAATGAAGAGGGAAATGAAACAACACCTGCCAAGTCAACACCTCACATGTTTTGCAAAACGCTTACAGCCTCAGACACCAGCACTCATGGGGGGTTCTCAGTCCCTCGTAGAGCTGCTGAAGACTGTTTTCCTCCTTTGGTGTGCACCATGCTCTACTTTGCACTCATAAGTTCTACAATGAAGTTGTTCAAGAGTTTTGAATTCTTTGTCTCCCTAAGAATGATGAATTGCTTTTGTGCTCACTACAGGATTATAAGTAGCAGAGACCCTCTCAAGAGCTTGTTGCCAATGACCTGCATGGTGTGGAATGGAAATTTAGACATATTTACAGAGGTAATTGAAAAAATAAATGAAAAAGTTGGTGTTGCTGGCTTCATAATCACATATTGATTGACATAAATGATACAAAAAGTCCATGTGGTAACTTTTTGTCAGGTCAGCCAAGGCGGCATCTGCTCACTACTGGCTGGAGTATCTTTGTTAACCAAAAGAATCTCGTTTCTGGAGATGCAGTTCTGTTTCTAAGGTGTGTATACATGTTCAAATAGGATATTGTTTTCATTGGTATTGATATGTTTGTTTTTCCTATACTGTTCTAGCAATCACTGTTAATTTGTTCTTTTATTGGAATGATTAGTAAACATTCATTGTTGATGTTAATATTAAGGAAGCTTCTTGTCATAGTGACAGTGAAGTACCAAATTAGCATAGTGACATTTTTGGTTCTCGGGGATCTAGAATTTGTCTTGCCAAAATTTGGAAGCATGGAAAATGACTGATAATAAAATCATTATAATGTTTGTTTCTTATTGGTCATTAATTTGTTTGTAGGGGTGAAAATGGAGAATTGAGATTGGGAATCCGAAAAGCTGCTCGACCAAGAAATGGTCTTCCTGAATCAATTGTTGGTAGCCAGAGTTATTATCCCAATTTCCTTTCTTCTGTGGCCAATGCTATATTCGCGAAAAGCATGTTTCATGTTTTCTACAGTCCACGGTACTATATTAATGGATCAGATTTTTTGTTTTGCAAAATGTTTGAACTTCATACTCTAATTATTGGACCTTTGATTTCCATTTTGTCGTGGAAACTATAGATGATTCATTAATTTGATGTTTGTCATGAGAACTTATCTGTCAGTTATGCAAAATCTCAAAAGCAATGTTGTTAAAATTGAGATTTTACCTAAGATCAGGAAGGGGAGAAAAAATTGAAACCGAGGGTTGTAAGATCCTATATTTTTTGCCTAAAATGTAAAATTATATTTCTATATAATATATGCATAAAAAAACCTTTAAATTTACATAATTATAGTAATAACAATATATTTAACAGAATAGTTATAAACAAAAAAATTTAACAGAATAATCACTGTTGGATAGAAATCCCAAAATTTATGGGATATTATTATGTTGCAGAATTTCAGGGATTAGGATCTACGATTTATTCTTTATTATTGTTACTGATTTATAGGGATTCCTATTTAATTATAAGAATTGCCTATTATTTGTTTCCTTTTTTTATTTCCCTGTTTTGCCTATTTATGAACTTAATGAAATGGAAACTTTCCTTGGCCACCCTTCTTGATTATTTGTTGTATGAAGTGGCATAAACTGCTTTTTAATTTTTAGTCTACTAACCATGGAGAAGTAACTTAAATTCAGTTATGCAAAATCTCAAAAGCATTGTTGTTAAAATTGAGATTTTACCTAAGATCAGGAAGGGGAGATATCTATTTTTAGAGTTTTCTATCTATATATATAATTATTTACATGATTCTAGAATTTGTGTCTAGTAATTACTAGCATACTTATGTCTTTCTCTATAAAAATCTAGATTATTCTAGAAGTTTGTATCATATTTTAACACCATCACATAAAAGTCATAGTTCTAGCAAAATTGAGTTCATATTTCTGAAGTAATATCTTTTAAGTAAGGTCTTAGGTTAATTATTAATAAAATTGGTGAATATTTTATATTAATAAAATAATGAAAGAAGAAAAAAGACTAATAGAATAACTCAACTTTTTAAAAAACTAATGTGGTAGTCATTTTAACTTTAGTGAATAAATGAATGATTTTCTTAAATTTTAAAAGGGAAAAGCTAACAATCCAAATATTTTGCTCTCGAGCACAGCAGGTGCTAATTTCTATAGTTGAAATGCATTTAACAACTTTCTTATCATAAAACATGTTATGCAACCATTTCTAAATAACTATTCCGCACATCTCAGCAAAATCCCGATCCAAATAGCAAGAAAAAAGAGAATACCTTGTAAAACAATAACTTCATTTGTTCCACTTCGCGGATTTGTGCAAGAAGCTTATGCACTTGAAACCCAAGTTTTTCTATTCTTTCCATTTTGTCTTCATCAATAACAATCACAACGGATGCACTACGTGTCATGAACTAGAGAAAATTCAGTCAAAGACCGTATGTTCTCCTGTCGGAGAATTCTCATATAAATACAAAGTAATTACAAATTGTCAAGCTAATTTTTAGCCCACTAAATAAGCTAAACTGCCATATATACATTTACGACTAATTATCCTAATTAAAGAGAATAATCTTTATAAATAAATATATAATTGCATATCTTTTTCCATTCATTCTGTTGACATCCTCCCTCAAATTGATGCTGGTGAATCTACAAGCATCAATTTGCCAAGTAGAAAATTGTGACGTTGGCGTGGCAACGTTTTAGTGAAAATGTCAGCGATTTGAATAGATGTTGAAACATGTGGTAGATTGATGACTCTACGATCATACGCATCTCGAATAGAGTGACAATCAACCTCGATGTGTTTCGTCTGTTCATGGTAAACCGGATTGGCTGCAATCTGTATGGCACTGGTGTTATCAGCATGCAGTGGAGTGGGTTGTGCTTGAGACAATCCAAGGGGTTGTGCTTGAGACAATCCAAGCTCTGTAAGAAGACCCCGTAGCCATATTATTTCAGAACAAGCAGCATACATTGCGCAATATTCTGCTTCAGTGGATGACTTTGATACTGAATCTTGTTTCTTGCATTTCCATGAAATTGGCGCATTCCCAAGGAACATACACCAGCCAGTAGTTGATCTCCTAGTGTCTGGATAGCCAGCCCAATCAGCATCACTATATGCTTGGAGTTGAAGAGATGGATTTTTAGGAAAGAATAAACCACGCCTTGAGGTGCCAAGAAGATATTTAATGATATGCTGTACTGCTGAAAAATGGAAGTGTCGTGGAGATTGCATGAACTTACTAACGGTGTGTGCAACAAAAGAAATATCCGAGCGAGTGATAGTCACATAGATGAGACTACCAACTAGTTTCTGATATTGAGTGGGATCGTCAAGAAGCTCCCCTTCATGTTGTCTATATTTAACATTAACTTCCATTGGAGTGTCAACAAGAGTAGAATTAGTCCAGCTAGCTGGACTAAATCTTGAATATATTTGTGCTGATTTATGAAAATGCCTTCAGGATGGGAATGCACCTCTAAACCCAAGAAATAATTGAGATGACCTAACTCTTTCATGTGAAAAGTTGAATGCAACATTTGTTAGGTTTTAGAAATAGCATCTGGATCAGAGCCGGTGACCACAATGTCATCCACATAAACAAGAAGGACGACGATGCCTTTAGGAGTCCTTTGGAGGAAAAGTGATGGATCATACTGAATTTGAGTGAATGAAAAACCAAGTAGAGTGGAGCGAAATTTCTCAAACCATACTCTAGGGGCCTGCTTCAATCCATATAGAGAGCGTTTCAATTTGCAAACATTAGGTGGGGATAGAGTCGACATACCACCAGGAAGTGTGATGGAAATGTCCTCCTTAAGGTCACCGTGGAGGAAAGCATTTTTTACATCCATTTGATGTAGTGACCAAGATTTGGATGCAGCAATAGCAAGGATAGTACGTACAGTGGTCATCTTAGCAACCGGAGCAAAAGTCTCATCATAGTCTAGGCCATACTCTTGCTTATTTCCAAGCACAACTAGTCTCGCCTTGTAACGGTCGATGGATCCACCCGAACGCAGCTTGATAGAGAACACAAACTTGCTGCCTAAAGGCTTAACAGATGGGGGACATGGCACTATATCCCATGTCTGATTTTCTTCCAAGGCGAGAAGTTCACTTGCAATAGCTTTTTTCCAACATTCATTCTGCATTGCCTGTTTATAAGAAGAAGGAATAGGAATAGATGATAAAGTTGCTGTCATGGAACTGATATACCTTTCTGGGGGCTTACGAATGCGTGAACTGCGTCGTGAAGGAGTTGGTTATGGTGCTGAAGCTTGTACTGGATCAACAGCCAAGGAATTATCTGGAAGGGGCCCATGGGATTCTGCTTGTTGATGTTGACGGGTAGTTTTTTTTCTTTGATAGGTCAAGAGAGGTCTAGATGATGATGGACCGGCAGAAGAATTAGTAAACAATGGCAAACCAGAAATGGTAGAAGAAAACGAGTCAGGATGTTTTGCAAAAAAATATACATTTTCTAGAAAAATGACATTTCGAGAGACTCGAATCTGATGAAGTTTAGGATCATAACATAGAAAGTCGTTTTGATGCGAAGAATAGCCAAGAAAAGCACATTCAACAAATTGTGCAGTGAGTTTGGTGCGTTCTTGTGGAGGAAGATGTACATAACATGCACAACCGAAGATACGAAGAGTGGAGTAATTGGGTGGGTGACCAAATAATCGAGTGAAAGGGGACTCATTACTTATGGAAAGAGATGGCAATTTGTTTATAAGATGAACTGCGGTGGAAAGAGCTTCACACCAAAAACGTGATGGGACATGCGACTCCAGCAAAAGAGTGCGAACAACATCTAGTAAATGGAAATTTTTTCGTTCAGCTACCCCATTCTGTTGGGGGGTTGATGGGCATGATCGTTGAGATAAAATGCCATTGGTTTGCAGGAATTCCTGAAATAAGTGCGAGGTGTATTCCCCCCCATTATCAGAGCGAAGAATCTTGATTTTGGAGGAGAATTGGGCCTGAACATAAGCATAAAAAAATTTGAAAGTAGCAAAGACTTCATCTTTTGAGCACAAAAAATAGACCCAAGTGAAATGACTATAATCATCAATAAAAGTTACAAAATACTTGTAATAAGCATGAGATGTAACTGGTGCTATCCCCCAAACATCACTATGGATGATATCAAAAGGTTGGCTGACATGCGACTGATGTGTTGGAAAAGGTAAAATTTTACTTTTGCCAAGCTTACAAGGAATGCAATCAAAATGAATATCATTAAGAGAGGGGGTGTGTTTATTTCCAAGAAAACTAGATTTGAGCATGTCATGGAGTACATTGGAGTTGGGATGCCGAAGACGCCTATGCCATACTTGATAATCAACAATTGCAGAATTACAAGAGACTAAAGGTAAAGAAAGACTTGGAGACAGCGAGAAATGGATGGGAAAAAGACGTCCAACTTTAGGCCCCTTTGAGATTATCGTCCCCAAGTGTTGATCCTGCACAAGACAACCAGACTGTGAGAATTGAACTCGACAATCATTTTCGACTAATTGACCAACAGAAATGAGATTACTGGTGAGACCAGGAGCGACAAAAACATTTGTTAGAGATGAAGAAATATCACCAGTTGTTGTTATAGGCAATTGATTTCCACCAGCAGTATGTATGTTAAGATTCCCCAAATATTTTTTTTTATTAGTAAGGAATCGAGTATTGTTGGTCATGTGGTTGGAAGCCCCATAATCAAAATACCATGGTAAAGAGGATTTACCTGAGAATCCCAAAGCAGAAAATGCTGAAATGATCATTTGTTGAACCATTTCAGGAGTCAAAGTGGGAACAACAGTAGTAGCATGTTGTGGGACAGGTGCTGGATTGGTAGAACTGTTGGGAGTAGAAGAATCAGTGGTGGTTGTAAAAGCTGTTACAGTTTGCCTTGGTGGCCTTATTGGGCATTCCTTAATAATATGTCCATCCTTTTTGCAGTAGTTGCAGAATTTTTTTGGACAGGAGGAAGCATAGTGTCCAAATTGCTTGCAACTAAAACATTGAATAGCACTCATGTCATGGCGTCGTGACTTCCCTTGTGCCACGTATGCTACGGGAACAGTAGACAATCTTTATTCTTCAATGATGGACTGTGTAAGAAGACGTTGTTCTTCACGTAACAAATCGTTGAGGCACGCATCCAACAATGGTACAGGATCTCTATGCATGAGATGGGACCGGAGGCCTTCAAAGTCAGATCGCAATTTCATAAGAAATTGGTCACGTTTAGTAGTTTCATGAATTGTTTGTACGGAACTTAGACCATTAGAAGTCAAGTTGGCGTAAACTATATCATTGTATTCAGCCTAAAGATTCATGAATTGAGAGTAAAAATCAGAGATGGAGAGACTATCCTGTTTAAAATTAGCAATGTTGTGCTCAAGCTGGAAACGACGAGCGACATTATTTTGACTAAATTTTCTTCAAGTAAGACCACATTGTTGCTGTAGTCTTGTAAGGACGAAGATTCAGGACAATGTTTGAATCAACGGAACCAAGGATCCAGGCCATGACTTGAGCATCTTTGACTGCCCATTGAGCATGAGCAACCGTCTCTTTGTCTTTGTTAGGGGTAGGAGTGCTGCCATCAACATGCCCCCACGAATCTTTTCCGGTGACAAATATCTGAAATTGAAATGCCCAAGCTGAGTAGTTTTTTTCAGTAAGGCGAACGAACAAGATATCATATTTTTCGGAAGTCATGGAGCTTCGGAAATAGAAATCGAGAAAGCAGGATCAGGAATCTAGGACGAGACTGAAGAAAAAAAAACACAAACTAGGTGGTGGGATCGTAACCTAGGCTGATACCATGTCATGAACTAGAGAAAATTCAGTCAAAGACCGTATGTTCTCCTGTAGGAGAATTCTCATATAAATACAAAGTAATTACAAATTGTTAAGCTGATTTTCAGCCCACTAAATAAGCTAAACTGCCATATATACATTTACGACTAATTATCCTAATTAAAGAGAATAATCGTTATAAATAAATATATAATTGCATATCTTTTGCCATTCATTCTGTTGACACTATGAACTGATGAAGAATTCAATAGAATGATATCCTGCTCAAGATCACCCTCATAAGAGAAATCTGCTAGATAGGGAGCAACAATCTTTATGGAAGATTTATGTGATTCATTTGACACAGATCTCCATGATGCTACAGAAAACCTTTCAAGTAGAGGTGCTTCTATACTAATGTTCTGCTTAGTTTGCCACTCACATCCTCTGGCTTCAAACACTTTGAGAAGTGGGAATCTAAGAATTATATCTTCTGAGTAATTGGAGGATTCACTCACTAACCTGATCCCAGAAAGGCTAAGACTTTGAAGGTTTGGGAGAGAAGCAAAGATTGGAACACTAAGAGTACATCTCATTTGAAGCACCAATTGTAATAGAGAGCTGCAACTAAAGAGGGTTTGGGAAGGAAAGAGGATTTTATCAGCATACTGAATATGAAGTTTTTGAACACTCTTTTCCAAGATAGAGGAGATCCATGAACTTACCAGGGATGAATCATAATGATAACTTGTTAAACAAAGAGAGAAGCTTTTGACAATTGAATTGGCAAAGTGAAGAACCACCCTATTTACAGAGCACACAAATTGTTCTTTTGGCATCTTCTTCCCAAAACAGTGCAAAGCATCGTTAAATTGTATGCCTGTGATGGATTTCCAAACATGAATCCACCTTGTTGATAGCACACTAGTGCGGACTGCCTCAATAGTTGGAAGAAAAGACAAGATTTGACCAAGAATGCTTTCATGCAACTTGCTGATTATATCTTCCCCTTCAACCACAGTTTCCTCAGTAGGAGACCTTTGTATTGTTTCACTATTCTGAGTTGAAATAATTGAATTCATATTTTCAAACACCTGGTGCACGATTCCCAGAGGTTTCAAGTTTCACATATCGTCCATAGATCAATAATTGCAAAGGAAATAAAACAGATTTATGTAAGCATGCACCGTTTAGTAATACCACAAAGTTATTTAACATGAAACAGAGGAGATAAAACTATTGCATAATTTTTCCCATTTGGGTTATGTTTAAATTGTGTCAGAAACAGAATAGTGAGTTAGGTAAGATTAAACTGAGAAATTATGCTCACTAGAAAAGAAAATGAGAAAATTGCAACTTTCATTTCTTATAAGATTTAATTTCTAGGAGCTTACCGCAAACTTTTAACAACTGAAAAAGAAAAAAACATAAGAATCAACTAGGAAGAAAAATAGAACATGTAATTTGAACAGATGAATGTGAAATTAAGACTCACTTTGATGAAGAATTAATTATCAGAGCACTGTTGAAAGGCTGAATTGAGGAAAAAATAAAATAAAATGCACTATAAATGGTGTATCAGTTCTTGCCTGTGTGACCACATGGAGCTAACGTAGCTAGCATGAGAATCACGTGACTTGCACAAGCATCAGGACCATTAGTTCACTTACCTGTTTAGAAATTAGAATACCAATTAAAATATATTAAATATATTCTTAGTGAACATGAATATAAAAATTAAAAAGAAAATAGAATTTTGACAAACTATTTTGGGTTTTTATTTTTTTAAAAAAATTAATTGATTTATAAAATAATATTGAATGAATCACCAATTTAGTTCTTGAAATTATAATAGTTAGTCAAATTATTCCATAAAATTAATAAAGGGATAAAATAGTTCTTGAAATTGTAATAGATGGTTAAACTGGTCCTTGAAATAGATAATTATTGATTAGAAAGTATTGCAAAATAGCCTAGAAAATTATTGATTAATTTAAGGTTTTGGAATTATAATCATTAATCAAATTGATCCTTAAAACATTATTATAAAAAAATCGAGACACAATTTCTGTCTCTAAAAGAATATTTTTCTATCTCTAAACTTTGTAGATACTGAACTAACGACCAAAATGAATTTATCCTGATTTGAGCATCTGATTATTTTGAGACGTATTATTATTGACTGTATTTGTTTAAATAAAAACATGTCTTTGTTAAATCCATCACAAACAACTAATAAAAAATTAACAATCTCTTTTTTTTGTTTCATGAACATGATTTATGTAGTATCATAAAATTCACAATTAAGAATTAATGTGTTTATAAAATGTATTTTTTTATCAAATATTATTTTATATTGTGTGAGTCAAATTTAAAAGCATCATGTTAACCTCTCATTTTGTAGAAAAGACTTTAGAACCAACTACTAACTCAAGATGATTGTTTCTACTTTCTAACAATTGAACTTTTTTTTTTATTTTTTTTTATTTTTTATTATCACGTCTCTAATCATGGGGGGAAGCTTCAGCCCAAACAAATACGACTTTTTTATGCTTTCATCCAAATAGAGCCTCGCCAAGATCCAAGTGCTTATTTCTTCACATTTTTACTCCTTTCCTAGGCCTAAAATTGTGTTTCAACTTTATGTCATTTTCTTTTTGGTGAAGATGCAATTGTCTTTACAAAAATTTAGAAATGATGCCCTTCGAATTTCAATAAACACCTTAAAAATTAAAATAAAATGATAATCCAATCAAACACATAAAAACAAAAAAATAAATAATGAAAAATAGATTAAAAATTATAACAAATAAAAAATATGAAAAAAAATCTTCTTTGGCCAAAATGTCTAAAATCATGATAAATCTATTTATTAAATACTTATATAATTACAAAATCAAATTTTCATTATTAACGTGTTCTATTAAAAGTGCATGGTTTGAGTTTTGTATATATACAAAATTATAATTGAAAGAATAAACTCTATTTAAAGATGATTAAATAAACTTTCTAATAAAATTCAGTTATATTAAAACTTATGAACCTTGGTACGTATAACAAAATGATAAAAAAGTTATAATTTATGTTTTAAAAAAATTAATTTATCTAGTACAATGTAATTAAATTATATACGACAATATTTAAGATCGACCTAACAATTAAGGATTGAATAATATATTTAAAGTTCTATATTTAAATTATATCAATGTAATTTTTATAAATAATCAAATATTATTGATAAAGACAATTGTTTTATTTGATATATATACTTTTGAACAACTTTACTTTTATAATTATCTTTTAAATTATTCTTTTTCTCTTAACCATTTTTTAAAAATTACCTTTATAACTACACCTACTCAAAATATATATTCTTACTTATTTTTTTTTAATTTTAAAAATACAGGAAAGTATGAAACATTTTTTTTGCTTTAATAATAATAATAATAATAATAATAATAATAATAA